GTTGCCAATCACAAAAATGGCGGAATGTAGTAGTTACAGTTACACGAATATAAGATAGTAAAACACGTCTATCAACACGCACATTTTTCCTAAGTTCAGATTTAGTACAACCGGTCTTAAAACAACAAAGGGCAAAAGCGGTTATATATAAGCCCGTTACAAGTAGCGATACCAAAACACACGTCGAACACATTTGGTAAAAAGAGAACAAAATGTGACTGATGTTATATAGTTGCTAGAATTTCAAGGAATAAAAATCTGGTTAGCTTTTTGCCTAAAGGAAATTTACCATTAGTGTCTCAAGAGGTAGATGAAGTGTTATGTGTGCAATCGAAAAAAAAAAGAATTTGGCAGGCTTTTATTTCGTGTTCAGCAAAGGCAATCTGTCCGAAGACAACCGCACATATCAGACCGCTCAAAAGACATACACGGCCAACTCGGCTACTCCACCGATCATGGTCATTGCCCATTTCCACCAACCAACAGCCATTTCAGGTGTCTGCCGACGCCCTTGAATCAGATGACGAAGTTGACGCAATGTTTCCGAGTTTTGATGTTCACCTGAAGTGATATCACGAATCAGCACAAAACGTCACCTAATTTCAGTACATAAATCTTTCTCAGCTCACAATCAACCAAAGAATACCAACCATGAGCATGATGGGACGCGACTGCTATTTCGAGATTATTGGTGTGCTTCGGATTTGAAGGAGTTGCTGCTAGCTGAAATAAGACACGGTAAACACACTCAAAAAATATACTAGGCAGAGATGAAATTATTGGCAATTAGAGATGGAAAGGAATTTCCAATTTCATGATGCCAAAGTATCCCATAAGACCTTTGGAAGAAGAAAATTAGCACAATGTATCCCAAATAANGAAAAACGCCATTCGCAGACCTATTTTTGCACCGCCACTTTTCAAGTTGTCTACACGAGCTACATGAGAATTTTTCTGACAGTTCTTTCAAAATGAGAGTGGCGGCATGCTTAACGATGCAAAAGGACAACATGCAAACGCTAGACCTTCTCGCGAAAATTGAGCATGCATTTATTCTGAATATTTGGAGACCTCATCAGCAACCCATTAATTATGTTGCAGAAGCCGATATTGTATCACTCTTTCACCAAATGAACAGCCGTAGCTTCAAGCCGTGGAGTTTAGTAGTTGCGATGTTAGGGTTTGCCCGGAACTATCCTTCATTTTTCGTTTGGAGTTGACATAATCAATTCAATTTCAAAACGGAATGATCTTGAATTGATTTTACTGCTTCACAAGCAAGGTAACTCTGTACCCGTACGGTCCGAAATGACAGTTACCGGCAACTCATACGCATAGCAAACGACGTTCGCCAGTTTGATCTTTCGCCCAGTTTTCATCATATAATTTTTTGATATTGAATAGCATAAGATGTGAATGTTTGACTTGAAAATTCGAGCAACTCTTCTACGATGCTCGGTATCAGCGAAGATTATGATATCAATCAACAGCTTCTACCCCACACAACCTCAGTACTCAGTTCGTTGCCTAGCGATTAATCCTTTCGTTTTCAGCATTTGA